ATATAGTTTCATTGCCATGGTTACAATCCCCTTCATGCATCATCAACCAACCAACAGGTATATCCTGCAAGCCTGCCCCCCGGTCGTCAGCACACAGCCCCTCTCCCTCTCTGGGTCTAGAGTCCCCAGCCGCTCCATCTCTCCATGTCATCGTTTCTGCCTCCATCTCTGGTATCACCGCTTTTCTCTCTTGATGGTCCCAGGGACCTCTGCTCCTGGACAAAGTCAATCACTCCCCTGCTTTTGCTACAAAACGTCTACTTTTACATTTTCAACCCTCATAGTCAGTCCTGATAGTAATTATTCACTATTGTACCACATGAGTCCTATCCCCATTTCCTTTCATCAGCCCCACCCAGACAGACTGGATACTACTCAGTGGAGATTCACTTCCTCCGTGCCCTCTGAATCTAGGTTCCCTCTTAAAAGCTCGTAAGTCAGTCACTTCTTGCCTTTGTAGCCCCCTCATTTTGGGAAGCCAATGTCCAAGTTGCCCATTCCTGTCTGCCCTGTGTATGGAGTGGGTGGGAATTATCCTTGCTGTAAAGATTTGTTCCCTCTTTTGAGGCAACAGTAGAGCACAGGGTAAGGGCAGACACATCATGTTTCGGGTACTGGGGAGGGCAATGCAAGAAGGGGGAGGAGGTGGAAGAACAAGCTAGGGGAACAGAGACAGGCTTGCATGGGTTAAGTAGGACAGAAGTAAATAGTGATGCATGCTTAACCTTGGAACAGGGCTCTGTGATACAAGGATCAAGGCATAGTTTGAAGAGGGGAAATAATACTAAGATGCTTGACTGTCTTATGAATAATATTGGTTTCCCTTGCCTACCACTTTAAAATAGACACTTGAGTGGGATAGAAAGAAATGTCGGGAAACATGACTACAGAAAACCTGTAAGCCCGTCTTCAGCCTATAACTGACTGGAATACCTAAAAGGAGTTCTAGAACTTGCCCAGTGAAACAGACCTCTTGCGGAGCCTTTGCAGAGTATAAGACCTTAGGTGGACTCCTGAGTCCCATCCAGAACCTTCTGAGGTGTGACATTCCCACTAGAAAGGACAAGCAGACCATCCTGGAACAGCCAGAGTGACAGATAATGCATCTTCAAAGAAAGATCATCAGGAAAAACCCAAAGCAAAATGGCAGTATGACTGGCTACTGCAAGAATAAGCAAGGTGTTCGCTGTAAAGCCATCAAGGCAAATAATCAAGTTCCTTCAAGACAAATCCCCGCTCTAAGACTGAAACTCAAAGGGAACACATGAGCAGGCATGTAAGCTTGCTGGCGACCACATTCATCTACTGGTGAGTGGAAGAGGGGGGAAAGCAGCAATGAAGAAATGGACTGAGTTCAACCACGTTCCATAGACTCCCGTTGACCTGGAGATGAGAGAGAGAAGGAAGGGCTGCTGGTCCAGTATGTGGTGAGACCTGGGGACACCTGAGCCCTTGGACAAGGACATAGCCACAGAGGGCTAGAGCTGAGAGTGAAGCATCCAGCTGATATGAAGTAAGGGGCGAGGCACAAGAAGACCCAAATTTGCAGATAGTACCCATGTGACCTAGCCTCGATGGCCTGATAATCAGAACTTGACTAGAAAAGATTTAAAAAAAAGAACAATTTCTGATACAGGAAACAAGGGTAAATTGCTACAATTTGATGAACTTGAATTGACCTATCCTCATGGAAGTAGTAACTCTAATATCAACAGAGAGGGAAGGAGTCTTCACATCAAGTATCAATGCTATCCCCTCTGTACACAGGTTATAGAGGGACGAGCAACACTGGCTACCTAAAATGAGGGGGCGATAAAGGCACGAAGTGACTGGTTTACAAGGTTTCAAGAGGGAGTTTAGTTTAAGAGTGTGTGGGGGAAGAAAAGAGTCCCCACTGAATAGCTGTCATCTTGTCTAGATTTGTTGTTGTTGCTAAGAGCCGTTGAGTTGGTTCCGACCCATAGTTCCAACCCTGTACAGGGTTTCCGAGGCTGTATTATCTTTCTCCCACAGAACAGCTAGTAGTTTCGAACTGCTGACCTTGAGGTTCACAGGTCGATTCGTAACCACTACACTACCAGAGCTCCTTGATGTTGTTGTTGTTATGTGCCATGGAGTCGGTTCCGACCCATAGCGACCCTGTACAGGGTTTCTGAGGCTGTAAATCTTTATGGGAGCAGAAAGCCTCATCTTTCTCCCACAGAACAGCTGGTAGTTTCGAACTGCTGACCTTGAGGTTCGCAGCCCGATCTGTAACCACTACGCTACCAGAGCTCCTTGATAGGTCTGGTTAAAAGAGATTTTCTGGGATAAGATTCTTATGATTCAATAGTAATTGTTATCATGACTAATTGCGACGGTCAAAACTGTAAAGGTAGAAGTTTTGTAACAAAAATGGGGACGTAGTTAATCTTTCAGTCCAGAAACTAAGGACCCTAGGACCATCAAGGGAAAAGAGCACAAATGGAATGCAGGCCTTTGTCCAGAGAAGCAGCGACTCCAGACAGAGATGGAAGCAAAGATGGAGACATGGAGAGAGGGAGCAGCTGAGGACTCTAGATTCATGGGAAGACAGGGACTAAGAGTTGGTGGTCATGAGGCAGACTTGCAGAACGTGCCATTTGGTGGTATAAATTATTATATATGTGGGAGTGTTGTGTGTGTTTTTTTTTTTAAGGAGCTAAAGTGAATAGAGAGAAATACTGTTACTAATGGTACATGGAGGGGAATGTAATCATTTTAATGAAACAAGTTGCATGATTTGTTGAATGTAAAACTGATGACCTTACCCTGTAAACTTTCACTCAATCCACAATAAAAACTTAAAAAAAAAAAAAATGTTTTCAAAACCACCAGGCTTTGAATCCATGGAAATTCTGAATTACTGACTTAGCCTTGCTGAATGAAAACTAGCATAACTTTATCAACTATTATGCAAGCCAGAGCCATTTAAATGTAAAACACATATGGCAGGCATACGTAAATTAAGAGACTAGATAAACTATTTATTAACTTCCACTGAACTACACTTTATAAAGGCCTGGCTAGCTGGTTAATAAGCTGAACCAGATGAAGGACAAAGCTAATGAGATCACTTTCCTCAGTCTTCTACGCATATGTTGCAAAATTCATGATGCTAGGCACTGTATGGCAGTAGTTCTACAGTTCCTTTTCTCCACGTAAGAATTGCAGCTTTATTACCACACGTAAAAGCATTAACAATGCAAAGGCAGGATTTCACTTGGGAAAAGAGACCTCCCTCATGTTTCAATATTTTTAGTAAATGAATGTGTTTGCATAGACTATCAAAATATGAAATACATCCCTGCTGATCCCCAGATGACTGCTATGCTGAGCTACAAAGTAAATGCTTAGAAGGGCAGAGACCATAGCAAATCAAGAGCTAGGCTTTTTAATGAATCATTTCAGGACTGTTTGAATAACAGCAAAGTAAACAATCACCCGTTTGCCATTTTAAAAGCCACTTCCCATTAAATACACTACCTTCTGCTGAAATACATACTTTACACTGGTGATTGTGGTGGTTATGTGCCATGGAGTCACTTCCGACCCATAGCGACCCTGTACAGGGTTTCCGAGGCTGTAAATCTTTACAGGAGCAGAAAGCCTCATCTTTCTCCTGTGGAACAGCTGGTAGTTTCAAACTGCTGACCTTGAGGTTCGTAGCCCAATTCGTAACCACTACGCTACCAAAGCTCCTTACTTTAAACTAAGACCAGGTAATTCAGGCAACTTACATTTGCTTTATCTAACAATTCAAAGACACTTGTTGTTGCTATTAAGTGCTGTCTAGTTGGTTCCAACTCATAGCAACTCCGTATAGAGATTCCAAGGAGCAGCTGGTGCGTTTGAACCACTAATCTTACTGATACCTATACTTTCCTATAACAGATTTTGTAGGTCTGAAGCTGATTTCAGGAATAACTAATAGAGCACTCTTGAGAATTAGATCTGATGCGAAGGATTTTCAAATGCTGTGTATAGATGTGTACAGAATCCACACAATATAGGCAGATATTTGAAAATTTTGAATGTGGTTGGAAAAATGTCATTTTTCTTTTTGATTTGTTTCCAGGTAGCGATGGGGACACACGGGTGGGTTTTGGAAGGAGGGAAGATGGGAGACGACATGGAGTGCACGATTAGGCAAGTATCACCTACTTTGCAATGTTATGGGAGAAAAAAGCCAACTGTTTTCTCACTGGCAAGAGTTGGGAAACCACTTAGATTCTTGAGGCTGTCAATCTAAGTAAAGTTAAGTCCACAAATACAGAAGAGGCTAACATTTAGGATTTTACTGAAAGGTCTTTTCTGTACAGCCAAAAAGTGCTCCTTTTAACGTCTAAGAAACTAATAATGTTGAAGTACCAGTATCTGATTTAAGTATATGAATATCTAAAACCCTCGAGGATAGAAAAACAAAAATTGGAAGTAGAAATAGTATGAAAAAAATTTAAATAAAGCTTTCCATTCCCAAACTTAAATAAAGTAGTGCAATTTCTTTTTACAATTTTGTTAAGTTCTAGCATGCATTATGAATGCATTATGAAACAGCTTGTATTTTGAAGAAGACACTCATTAATCAAGGTAGGTAAATACATCCCCTTCCAGATCGCTGGTCTCTTTGGACCACTCTGCCTATAACCACTTCACTTCTCATTTTATCAGCTCCCATCCTCCCTATCTCCAAAACAGCCTTTTTCCCAATTTTCTGGCAACAAAAAAAATGTCCATTTCCCATCCAATGAACATTCATAGTTTCTCAAATGTATATAGTATGTTGTAGATTCTGTGAGAGGAGTCTTATAACTGAGAATAGCCAACTATTTGAAATGGAAGCTGTTGGAAATTGACAGGTGGCACCTCAATCACTTCCAAGGTATCTATGTATTCACTGCACTTAGTGATTAAAATCACTTGGACCTGAGACCAGAGAATCAATTGATTGTGCTAACAATTACTTGGCTAACCTTACCCACCTGAATAGCTGCAAATGCCAGTGCTGCCCAGATGACATGCATCATAATTTCTTGTAGTTTCTTCACAACTAGAGCCTCACACCCCTGAAACACGTAAAGTCATCCACATTAGAAATCTTTTTAAAAAGACTTGTAAATTACTACTCACTGACAGAAATAGGAATCTGAAAAAAATCACACTATTCAAACAAAAATTAAGACATGCAATTAAAGAAGACAATGTATCTGAAAATAACTTGACAGTAAAATAAAATGGCATTAAAGCAAGTGAAGGTGGAAAAGGAGTTTCACCTAGAGATAAGACAGAGAGAAAAACTGGCTCTCAGGCTAGACTCAATTCTTGGCCAACAGCCTCAACTCACCTCAGCATAGAGATCCGCGGGGTGGGCCAAGCTGCCATTACAGCTGCTGGCGGTCTCTTTGCAGCAGCTAAGAGGGACACTCTGGTTTTTGGTTTCTTTGAACCAGTCTGTATTTTCCCAGTCTGAGTAGTTGTGAATTCCACAACAGTGCAGCTAAAGGAGACAAGGGAGATATTATATTACTCCTTATAAAACACTGAACTGAAGAGTTTCATACATTATATAGGCCCTTTAAAAAAAAAAAGCAAATCTACAACTGAGGTCTTAAGAGTTCGTGAATGGCAATATATGGTACAAGTAAGGTGGCCTCTCTAGTCCAGAGGGAAAAAGAGTGATGAGAATAAGCCAAGCAATAAATGTTACTGTCGTTAGGTGCCATTGAGTCAGTTCTGATTCATAACGATCCGATGTACAACAGACAGGAACACCACGAGCGTCCTGCGCCATCCTCACAATTGTTGATACGTTTGAGCCTGTTGCTGCTGTCACTGTGTCAATCCATCTTGCTGAGATCAAAAGGACAGCATTTACCCAAGGACCAAGTTCAGAAGGGTTGGGAAAGGAGGAGGAATGGAAACAAGAAACAGGGAGGACTTAAGAGCAATGAGGGGACTGCAGTCAATGAGATGATGAAGTGTGTATGATTTCCTGCGTGTAAAACTGATGATCCATTCCTTTTTTTTTTTGAACTTTTTATTGTGAATTACGTGAAGGATGACAAACAAGATCATCAATTCTATATTCAATGAATCATAGACTTTGTTTCATCTCAATGATTGGAATCCCCTTTATAAAACAACAGTTGTTTCGCGTCCTCCCTCTGTCTACCCATGTACAGACAGATAGCTTCTTTCAAACTCTTATATACAGATACATACAGTTGTTGTGGTAGTGAAGTGCATTCCAACTCATAGTGACCCTATAGAGGGTTTCTAAGGAGCAGCTGGTGGGTTTGAACTGCTGATCTTGTTGTTTACAGTCCAGTGCTGATCCTGATACACACACACACACACACACACATATCTGTGTATATACACATACATACATAATTTATACTTAGTTTGTTTTTTGTATATGATGTGAGATGTGGGTCTTGTTTTATTCTTGTATTCTTGTGCAAATGGATTTCCAGTTTCGCCAGCACCATTTGCTGAAGAGACTATCTCTTCTCCATTTAATGTGTTTTGGCCCTTTGTCAAAAATTAGCTGACTGTAGTTTGGTAGATGGTTTTACTTCTGGGTTCTCAATTCTGTTCCAGTGATCTATGTATTTTTTGTTGTACCAGTACCAGGCTATTTTGACCACTGTGGCTGTGTGGTGAATTTTGAAATCAAGGACTGAGAGGCCTCCAACTTTGTTCTTCTTAAGCAGTGCTTTGCTTATCCAAGTGCTCTTTCCTTTCCATATAAAATTCTTTAAACTGTCATCCAATTCATAATAAAAGATAAACTAACAAACAACTAAAAATCCAAGCAAAGAAATAAAGCTACTCCTAATATACTCAACAACAACAAAAATTGTTTTTATAAAAGGAGAGGTGAAGTCCTTCGGGGGCAGGGGAATGAAGGAAGCTAATCTAGAGTCGTGCTGTCCAATGGAACTTTCTGAAATGACAAAAATGTTTCAAATATCTGAGCGATTCCATTGTGGCAGCCATTAGCCACATGAGACTACTGAGCACTTTTAAATATAGTTAGTATGACCGAGGAACTGAATTTTAAAACCATTTTAAATAGCTATGATTGTCTACCATATTAGACAGTGTAGCTCTAGAACTTCACAAGAAAATGGCAATGCCTACAAGGGAGTTTTAAGGTAAGAAAGATCTTTATATCTTATACAAGTTAAATAACTAGTTCCAAGTTAAATATTATTTCCTGGGACAAAGTGTTAAAAATATTTTCTCTGAAATGCCTGGAATTTGCTTTAAGCTAAATTAACCAAAAAAGAAAAGAAACAAAGAGATGAAAGAAATGAGGGGATAAAAAGATGAATTAAAATCGATAAAGGTTGGGCATTTTGGAAGCTGCATTGTGCGTGTGTGTGTGTATTTTTTTAATTTATTTTTTAAACAGTTTTGCCTACTGTCTTTTCTGGTCTTGCTTTTTAAAGATAGTCGCAGATTTTCTATTTGTCCTAGAGTCCATCCAGACTTCCACCTGATCATTAAACATCCCTTTCTTCCAGTATCACCTCTTTGGCTATTTTTTGGGAGGAAGGAAGATGTATCAAATGATTAAAATACAAAAAAAATTGTGCTCCTTCTCTGGTTTTCATTTGGTGACGATGGGAAAAATCTTCCAAGGGTGAAGGTTGGGGAAACAGATTAAGACATATAAGAAGTTAAGCACAGCTGTGAAGGTCCACAGCTAATTTACATAGCAATCACAGAGTCTGCTTAAATGTTGACTCAACAGTGATTTACCTTCAAAAACAGTCTCCTCATGAGAGCTCACCTGTCTTTGTACATAATCAATAGCCCGGCTAGCAGCATCAGGATTGGTTCCATTGTAAGTCTTGTACACTTTCTGAATGCTGCGATCAACTTCATTTTCCACCTGAATTAAAACAAAGAATTAATTTCTTCAAAAATACTGGTACAAAATAACATCAGTCAAGGAGCCAGCAAAAATGCTTAAAAGGCATATTTGCAAGTTGCCAGTACACTGTAAATTTCTTAAAGAAAAATGGTTCTTCCTTCTTGCCTCCCTGTAGATGCAGACTAATAGACAAACATTCAGACATATTACACCACTTGGATTAAAAACAATCAAAGAGAAGGCTGTGTGCAAGATGGCAAGCTAGCAAGGTAGTCAAGAGGGACAAAGCAGTTGAGTTTGGGGATTAATGTCCTAAACTATAAACAGACCACTTTCCTGCTTCAAGTAAGTTTTAGTGTGTTCTCAGAAGAACTATTCTTTTACCTTTCCAAGGAGGTGAAATAAAACAACTTTAAAGCCCCCACAGGATACTTCTGGGACAAAGGTCAACGCTATTTCCATTTGATATATGTATAGATTTGGCCAAATATGCAGAACCTGCAAAAAGCAGGTTAGAACATCAGTCCTTAGAAGTGGTACTTCATAAGAAAGCTGAAGTTCAATGTCTACCAAGAGGAGACAGAAAGAAAACCAACTCTTTATAACTTACTGATGCCGATTACTACAGGAGCAAGTAAATATTAATTAATAAACTTTCCTTGGATTTTCCTTAGTCCTTTAAGATGATTAGACCTATTTTGTAGTTATATCAGTGATGTGTTACGACTGTAAGATTTTCTGTATCATACATAGGGCCTAATCCATTGCATTTTCTTGCATAGCTGCATGGTACCTCATGTACCAATGGCTTTAACACTGAGTCATTTCACATTGGAGCATGTCTTTGACTTAAAACAGTAAATTAAGTGAGAATGAATCTATTAAGTCTTTATCATGGTTCTATATAATTAACAAACTAACTAACAATAATTAATGAGGTAATTAAGACAGTTAATTAATTTAAAGCAGGTCATTTAGCCTTAAATGATCCAGGAGGTGGAAACTAGAAGCAGTCAAAATAGGAAAGGGAAAAGGAAAGCTCAGAGGAGTAAGAAGGGAAGGGCTGTCAGGGCAGAGGCAGACGTAGGACTGCAACCCAAACTCGTCCTTTTATCTTATTATTTTATGTCTAGGACCCAAGGCATTTTTAAAAGAGGTAACTGAAAACAAAACCCTCAATTTAATTCTTCTAAAACAGAAATCAGAATATTTTTATTTTTTCCTCTCGGGTAGGAAATCTAGGGACTGAGGAAACTCCTCAACTAATCAACTATTCATTTGTAGCTCACTCTGACGTAATGTAAAGAAAATTACGTACCTATAGTCTTGGGGAAAGAGCTCTGGTAGCATAGTGGATTATGAGCTAGCTGGTCAGAAGTTCAAATCTACCAAGTGCTCCTTGGGAGAAAAATGAGGCTTTCTGCTCTGTTAAAAATTTACAGCCTTGGAAACCCTATACAGGGTTGCTATGAGTCGGAATTGACTCGGTGGCACACAACCACCATTACCACCACTACAGTCTTGGTGTGGTATTATAGGATAAGCACTGAACTGTTAACCTTAGTGTCAGTGGTTCAAAACCCTCAGCCACTCCAAGGAAACCTTATACAGGGCTGCTATTAATTGGAACCGACTTAACAGCACTTAACAACAACAAAGTCAACAGCAGAATTTAACACTCTGCTACATTAAAAGAAACTAGAAGTCTTAATAACATAGATCATTTCAAGTTAATGTTCCCACTAAACCTACTGTTGTTGAGTTGATTCTGCCTCATAGTAACCCTATAGGACAAAGGCTAACTGCCCCAGCAGGTTTCCAAGGCAATAATCTTACCAGAAACAGACTGCCACATGGCTCTCTCACAGAGCAGCTGATGGGTTTAAACCACTAACTTTCTGGTTAACAGCCAAGTGCTCAACCAATGTGCCACCAGGGCTTCTTTGTATATTTAAAGCACTGTATAAACTGAAATAAGGCAAAAAGAATTTACTCTGATAAAATGAACTTGTTCCATTTTACATGAAAAACTTAAACCACCTTTTAAAGCATTATGTGAATTTAGCAAATATCATACCTTTGCTCTGTAAACGTATCCCAAAACCACGACAACAACTTCTGTGACAAAAACCAGGAGTAGGATGATGACAAACTGTAAGGAAATATGAGCAAAAATTAAATACAAACTTAAAAAAAAAAAGCGGGGTTAATACTGTCAAGTCTTGTAACAGCCAACAAGTTTATGGAGTTTCATGCTCAATTCAAGAAGAGCATGATATAAACACTCTGGCGTCTTAGGATGACTATGTGCTCAGTGAGATGCTAACTTACTGTAGCAAGTCCGCAGCGGCTTTCCCGGATTGTGGCGCAGCAGCCAATTAGGCCAATAATGAACAGCAGGGCCCCCACAGCTATGATCACTACGGCAGGGATGAGCGTGTACACATCTTCAAAGAAGTGGTCATAATCGTCATAAGTGATGAAGACATAGGCTCCCACATAACATAAGATGCCTGCTGCTCCCTATGGGAAACAAAACCAATGCATCAACAAAAGCCTTAATAGTAAGACGCACCTTCTAATCCTTGGTCAATTACAATTCAATGTTATTTCTCATGACTTCTAAATCTGTTTGCAGACTTTCATTTTCCCCCATAAAGCTGAAAGGCCTATGATTTATTACTAAGGACATATCTTTACTAGATAAAGTCAAAAAGTTTTCCAAACTCTATTAACTTTTCAGTAATCGATGGTTCTGCTAGGACTAAGAACGCAGGAATCCAATAAGCAATACTGATGACAAGAATGAAGAAAATCACACACACACACACACACAACTTAACTTTTGCTCAACGTAGTTGCCCCAACATCTAGAGAAATTACATAAGTGGATGGGCCAAGATTTAAATCCAGAGAGTCGCAAAAGCCTGCACTTTTAACTTCTAGCTACTTCCCTTGGAGAAAGAAAATATAATATTACATAGAAATCACTTACTGTCCTACTCATAAAGACTAAGAAATGGTCAAGTAGAAGGGCTTGACACCACAGTACACGATGCTTGTCAAACTTGAATGTGAATAGGAATCACCTGAGGGAGGATCTTATTAAACTACAGATTCTGATTGAAATGTTTGGGTGGGACCTGATATTCTGTATTTCCAACAAATTTCTATGTGCTTCTGGTGCTGCTGATTCTTGGGACACACTTTGAATAACATGGCTTTAGAGCACCTAAAGGAAAACTGAATGCAAAAAGTCATGTAACAGTTATGTCTTAAATTCAGTTGCTACACTCGGTACTTTCTCCAACTGCAGAGTTTTACGCACATTCCCCCCATCACGGTCAATTTTGCTATCCTAGTGTACCAGATGTGTGCTTAACAACCCAGTGCCATTTGTTTATATGCAAATGAGCAAATGCAGTGTCAGGCTAAGTATGACATCATTTGGCTTAATGAACTATATTTGCAGACCACACTGAATGATTTCCACCATCTTTAAAATTTAATACATGAACCATTAGTCCTCAAGCCAGAAAGCCTCAACAGTAACACTGGAAATATTTACTCTTCTGAACCTGGAAAGTTTTCTTAAAGCAGGGACCCAATATGCTTGGGCATTATCAGTATTTTTTTCACTAAGTCATCAGAATCAAGGTCAGATCTTGAAGACAAAGACTCCATATGTGTAAATTTAGGAACTTGATTTTTCTTTTATAACATAACTTTTACAAATGAGAAGTTAACTAGTGTAGGAAAATATTTCCAGCAAGATGGCATACTACGCAGATGAACTACATGGACCCTCTGCAATAAAGATACAAGAGACCAAATAAAACAGACGCAGAAAAAAATTCTGGCACTCTGAATTTCAGAAGAAAGGTTAGGGAGTGGATAGACTGCTTGCTGGGAGGAGAGGCCAAGGAGGGACGGCGAGAGAGGAAGACTGATGGATGAAAGGTGCTATTTCTTCTTTTCCCCCCACGGTTCCCTGGTGGCCAGAAGTGTGGCCAGCTCCCACCCTCACCCGCCCCCAGTACACACCCTGCTCTCTGGGCAGTCAGAGCCATCATGCCAGTGTGAGCTGGTAACCTACAAAACCTGCCGAGTCACCAAATCAGCACTTGGCCAGTCACCCTGCCCCCAACAGGTCCTAACAAACTGAAACCAGCTCCATCAAGGGTCCCCACAAACTACTTCTGGATAGATAACACCGAGGCGGCCTATGGAAACTCTGCTGTCACATCCCTCCCACAACCGTCTCGTGAGCACCTTGAATTGCAGGAACCCACCAGACATTTCTCCCCTCCAGGTCCAATAACTGTACTACTTGTTTTTACAAATGCTACAACTCCACAATGCCCCGGAGACAACAGACAATTTTAGCTCATGCAAAAAAACACGAGAGAATGGCTCAAACAAATTGTTAGGACGCAGAGACAAAACATTTCTGAGGGGAAAAAAGATAATAGAATTAACTGAAAAAGAATTAAAAAAAGAATGATATTTTGATGCCCTCAGTGGATTGACAGAAAGATCAGGGAAAACAAGAACACAGAAAAAAACTTTAGAAGAATTGAGAAAAACGCGACAAGCACAAAAAGACCAAATAAATGCAAATGTTAAAACAATCCAAAACCTTCTATTAGAAATCCAGAAGATCAATACTAAGATTTCAAAAATGAACAATATGTTAAAGAGCAAAGAAGATTCATAGCAATGGAAGTCAAATTGGTGAACTTGAAGAGAAATCTCTCAATACTAGTATGCTAGGCGAACCATTAAAAAAAATAATAAAAAAAAAATAAGAAGATTTAAAAGTTACGTAAGGACACCATGAAGAGAAACAACGTGAAATTCTAGAACAGGAAGAAAGCACAGAGAAAACTGTCGAAGAGTTTGGAAGAAAACTTCCCTAACATCATGAAAGGCATGAAAGTAAGAAGCAGCTGAACAAACCCTAAACAGGATAGATCCCAAAAGAAAATCACCAAGACACATCATAATCAAACTTTCCAAAATCTAAGACAAGGAAAGAATCTTGAAATCAGCTCAGGAAAAATGAAAAGCTACCTACAAAGGATAGCCAATAAGACTAACAAGCTCAGACTTCCCAGCAGAAACCATGCAGACAAGAAAGCAATCGATGACATTCGATGACATATACAAAACTCTGAAAGAAAAAAATTGCCAACCAAGAATCATATACCCAGCAAAGCTGTCCTTCAAATATGGCAGTGAAATTAGGGCATTTCCTGATAAATCAAAGTTAAAGGAATTTTTAATGACCAGATCAACTTTACAAAAAATACTAAAGGGTGTTCTTTGGACTGAGAACCAACAACAGCAGAAAACAACCAGTGAATACCATACATGACAACACCATGTGTTTAAAGTAAAACAAACCTACAAGACTGAAAATCGAGTACCAGTGAGATCAACATATAATGAAGTCAACGACAAAGCAAAAACATGGAATAGTGTAGATACAGAACTTACAAATGACAAGGAAGTCAAGTAGACAAGATTAAAACAGACACTTTTAAGCAGGGAAACAATAAACTGCTGGGTAACCTCTAAGAAAAAATAATACACTTGTACATCAAGATAAAAAGAGGAAAATCAGAAAGATTAAATAAACATTAACACAACAAAAACACACAAACAAAATGAACTCAGCAGAGAAAATTATGTGAAACGAAGAATCAACAGCACCACACACAAAAACAGAAAAATAACAGCCATCAATTCACACCTACTGATAATTACACTGACTATAAACGGATTAAATCCACCAGGTCAAAATGGGTAAGAACAAAGGACCCTTCAATACGCTGTCTACAAGAGACATATCAGAAAGATTGGAGACAGCCTAAATGCCCACCAACAGAAGAACGGTTAAAAAATTTTTGCTACATAACATACAATGGAATACTACAATACATTGAAGATAATGATGAATCTGTAAAACACCTCACAACACAGTTGAACCTGGAGGATATTATGCTGAGTGAAATTAGTCAATCAAAAAAGAACAAATATTTTATGGATTAACATTATAAAAAAGATTTTCCTGATAAAAGAAACAATCTGTGATGGTTATGGGGGTGGGAGAAAAGTGAAAATTATTCACGGACTGGTGGACTGAGTGAAAATTATTCATGGACATTAACATGGCTGACAGCATAGACAATATACAACAAGAGGGAGGTGAGCAGAGGAAGATGAAGGTAGCAGACAGGGGAGGAATGCAACAAAGCGAAGAGAGGTAAATGCTGTGAAGTGTCGGTACACGGAGGGGATTGCGACCAGGTAATGGAACAGAGTATATGATTTGTTGAATATAAAACTGATGATCTGCTCTGTAAACCTTCACTCAGTTCACAAAAAGTTGAAATTCTCTTCTTTTAGCTTCCCACGGCTGATTTTCTTCTGACTTCTCTAGCTGCTTTTCATTCTCTTCTGGGACTCTTCTTTATCCATCTGCAATGGGAGCAGTCTCCAGGGTTCTACCTTTGGTCCTGCTCTGTCTTCTCTTTTGCAAGCATCTTCTAGGGCTGGATTAGTCATGGCTTCACTAGGTATTATAGCTTTCTACTAAAGCTACTGTCTCAAGACCTACACACTCCCATCTGGAAGTGTGTAGCTAACAGCCCACCCTCAAACCTTCCCTGCCTTTGTCCCTTCCTTATCTATTTCAGCAAAAGTACCAGGCACCTAATTTCTCCAGTCAAACACTTTCCATGATCCTTTTTACATAATCAATTAACAAACTCCTTTAAGTCTATTTCCAAACCATTATGTGACTATCTCTGCTTCTCTTCAAACCCACAACAGTGCTTAGGTCTTAATTTGGGCTCTGTCGCTGTTCACCCTAAGTCTTCTACTTCTCCTTGCCTTGTTATTAGGAATATTTTTGTTAAAAATGCACACCAGATCAAGACAAAATTTTTTTACTTGCTCCCCATTACCCTTAGGATGAGGTAAATAGGCCGTTGAAGTTGTTCTTCCTTGTTTTTATGCCTCAGCCTTCATCAGTGTCTCATACACCCTGAGCAACATACATCTGCTCTATCCGAGTTCCCCACGTACTTTCTCATTTCTCAACACCTGCTGTTCTCTTTGGAATGCACGTCCTTCTTTTTATCTGCCTGGAAAATACTCGATGCCCACCTACACGCTGCTTAGGGGTCACCTGTGATGGAAGTCATTCTTGATTCTTTCAGGTTGGATCAGGTGCCCCTCACCCACTCCTATCTCACCCCATGCTCAGCTTCAACACAGCATTTAGTATACAGCTGGTGCAATTACAGCGACACACAGCTCAGCATGGCGGATGGATACAGACTGAGACCATCTGTCTTTCAGCCCTGTATCACCACCCTGCACTTAAACAGTGCTTAGCACCTAGCAGTAACAGTCAAAATTTATCCCTTACATTGAAATCATCCTTCCCCTTCAGTCTAAAGGTTTGGTGTGTGTTTGCTTTGTTTCTCTCAGCCCAATGTGTAGTCAGTCAGTCT